TCACAGCTGATACCTGGGCTCACAGGTCTCCAGGAAATCACTGGTGTCGGGAAAAAGTGTTCTCTGATTGGTATAGCACATTATTATACTTTATGTTCTAGGGTACATGTGCACAACGTGCAGGTTTGTTACATACGTATACATGTGCCATGTTGGTGTGCCGCACCCATTAACTCATCGTGTACATTAGGTATATCTCCTAAAACTATCCCTCCACCTTCCCCCCACCCCATGACAGGCCCCGGTGTGTGATGTTCCCCTTCCTGTGTCCAAGTGTTCTCATTGTTCAATTCCCACCTGTGAGTGAGAACATGCGGTGTTTGGTTTTCTGTCCTTGTGATGGTTTGCTGAGAATGATGATTTCCAGCTTCATCCATGTCCCTACAAAGGACATGAACTCATCCTTTTTTATGGCTGCACAGTGTTCCATGGTGTATATGTGCCACATTTTCTTAATCCAGTTTGTCACAGATGGACATTTGGGTTGATTCCAAGTCTTTGCTATTGTGAATAGTGCTCCAATAAACCTATGTGCGCATGTGTCTTTATAGCAGCATGATTTATAATCTTTTGGGTATATACCCAGTAATGGGATGGCTGGGTCACATGGTATTTCTAGTTCTAGATCCTTGAGGAATCACCACACTGTCTTCCACAATGGTTGAACTAGTTTACAGTCCCACCAACAGTGTAATAGTGTTCCTATTTCTCTACACCCTCTCCAGCACCTGTTGCTTCCTGACTTTTTAATGATCACCATTCTAACTGGTGTGAGATGGTATCTCATTGTGGTTTTGATTTGCATTTCTCTGATGGCCAGTGATGATGAGCATTTTTTCATGTGTCTGTTGGCTGTATGAATGTCTTCTTTTGAAAAGTGTCTGTTCCACTTGCTGTGGTTCACAGTTCAGCCCAAGCTCTAGCTGCTGTTGCTTAAGCAAATGTGTGCTGTCTTCGTGGAGGTGGCGGTGGAGAAAGGGAACTATTAGCTCTCAGTGACAACACCCAGGGCAACAATTACGCTGGCACATCCTTCACTCTGGGACCTGCCTGGGCCTGAGGCCGTGTGGGCCTTGCTGGTTGGGTCCTCCCAGCCCTACGAGGGGCAGGTTGCAGATCCTGTTTTGCAGACCAGGAAGTGGGGTCACCAGACAAGGACCACACACCGTCCCACCACAAGGAATTGTTGGATCCCAGTCCCAACCCAGTGAGTGTGACTTCAGAACTGGCTCTGAGGAGCTTCTCAGTCACCCAACAGTGTGCGCTCCCTCGGCGGGGATGGATGTGGAAACTCCTGAAATGGACAACTATTGCTGTTTTCCATGGAGCTGCTGGAAAGATCACTGCAGAGCGAAGGTCACCAGAGCATGACTCAGCTGTAAACTCTCACTGCATGAAGCTAAACCTAGACGACAGATCTGGCATGGCCCGGCCTCTGCTGCTTCCCAGCCTGGAGGACTCCAGCCATGCCTGGGGGACATTTCTGGGCTGGAGCACAGACGAGCCAGTGCACGGACCTCCAGTTCTCAGTCCTGCCATAACACCTGGGGGGAACATGTGAGTTGTTGATGAGCCGCGATCAGAGCAGCCTACATGCAAGCCCTCGTGTTGGGGGCACTGGCCCGGAGGCCGCCCTAGCCATGCTGGAGGAGTTCGCATGAATGGGAAATCTACCTTTCTTGCAAAGTCCACCGATATGCCACTAAGAATTCGGAGTGATAAGCTTAGCCTAAAGCTGCCTCCTCACATAAGTGCAGCCTAAATGGCGTGAACCCGGGAGGCGGAGCTTGCAGTGAGCCGAGATCGTGCCATTGCACTCCAGCCTGGGTGACAGAGTGAGACTCTGTCTCAAAAATAAATAAATAAATAAAAAGTCTCTGTACACAGTGAACTGTACTGAGCTGGATGTGTAAATAGTCTGTAACCTGCTCCTGTGCCAGTCGCCGAGTTTTGTCCGACGGTGACCCACTCACTGCTCAAACCCTGTTCAAGTAAGGCAGACCCTAAGCTGGAGCCAACACGGCTGCTTCTGGACCTCGCTCCGTCTTCCGTAAGTCACCCTCCGTTTTCTGTTCATGAATCTTGTTTGGTCCCACAGCAGCACTGGAGTCTCTCTGAACCCCTTCTGGTTCGGGAGGCCGCCTGATTCCCGAACCATTCTTTGCTCAATTCAACTCTGTTAGATTTAATTTGTGTCAAGTTTTTCTTTTAACGAGAGTTAACTTCCTCCTCCCTGGCCTCGCCTGTCCTTGCTGATGGGGAAACGGGTTCTGAGAGAGGTGCCTGAGTGCCGTCAGGAAACTTCCAGACGTGGCAGAGCTGCGGTGATGAGGAGACCCTGTCTCAGGCTGGGGACGTGGGACCCAGGCGTGCAGGCAGAAGAGCTGGAGAAACTGAGGACTGCAACGGCGTAGCAGGAAGCACAAGCACTGTGATCGAGGGCTCAACCCTGCAGTCCGTTCCCTGCCCACTGTGGGGCCCAGAGCTGTGAGCTTAGATGCTGGTGTCATGAAGTTAAAGCACACGGCTTCCGAGTCCCCATCTGGAGGACAGCTGCCCTGGCACGCTGCCCAGCTGGCTCTGACATCGGTCTGAGGACAGACTCTCACTGACCCTGCCCTTGAGCGGGACAAGCCTGTGACTCGCTTCCAGCAACAGAATGTGGCCCCATGCTGCATAGTACAGAATCTTCCAGGCCTCCATCCTGGCGCCCCCGCTGCCTGAAGCACCTTCCCCGAGGAAGAAGCCACTGGTTTGGAGCAGATGAGGCCAAACAAGGGGCCGGGGCCTGGGAATGGTGGGTGGCTGTGCTGAAAACCATCGGAATCAATTCAAGTTAAACTTTAATTGCATTTTGTTCCACTGACATCAGAACTGGATCTCCTCGGGGGTTGTGGGAGGGATTAAATATTTAGAAACATTAATTACTTCAACTAATACCATATTCTGCCCACTGCGCGGTACACATTGGGGGCAGGATTCAAATTAAACCGATCCCTGCTCCTGGGGAAGCCACATGTGAGGAGGAGATGATGTGAATGAAGCTGCCTGGAACGTAACAGGGCCGTCTGCCGGGGAAGACAGGACTAGCTCCACCCTGGGTCGTTAAAGGTCTCTGTGAGATGGGTCTTGAGGGTTGAGTAGGAGCTTAAACAACAATTTGAGGGGATGAGTGTTTCTGGGAAGCAGGAATGACCTGTGTGACCCTGAGGGCGTGCAAAGGACAGAGTGTGCTGGAGAAGGGAAGGACTGCCTTGTCCTTTGTTCTGCCTGGCAGAGCAGGGCCTCCAGGGTGCAGACCCCACCACCCGCATGCACCGGGGTGACTGCCAGCTCTGTGCCGATGGCCTCCAAAGCGGTCGCTCCTGGGCTTAGTTTCCCTGAAATTAGAAGCAGACGCCTGTGCACGCGTATTATCAGCTTTCCAACATTGAAGGAAACAACTCTTTTGCGATAGCTGGATTCATCATGATACAGATTTTCCCTGTGACCTCTTTATTACTTTTAAGCATCACCTTGCATTTAAAAAAAAAAGAAAACGTCTCCAGCTTCTACTCCCTGCATGCTGGCTGACTCAGATTTCTTTCACTGTTCCTCCTATACAAATAGGCAAGGGAATGAACGTCGCCTGCCACAGTTTCCAAGCGTATTAAACTATGGTCACCCCTGCAGAACTCCTAATGTTCTTGTTTAATGTGTCAAAAAAGCAAATGGAATTTCATTTTGCTTTGGCACCAGTGGAGAAGAATAATCGTCCCCTCATCAGGAGGGCTGGAAGCAGTGTCCATTTGCAAGTCCTGCAGATGGGCGGCCAGGGAGGCTCTGCCTGAGGCTAAAACGCCCTCAGAATCCTCTGCCAGTTCCTGGCCTGGAGGCCCTGGTGTTAATTAGCTCTACAGCTGCAGGGAGAGAGCCTGGAAGATGGCTTCAGGCCCGCAGCGTCCCAGGAACGGAGGTCAGACGCCGTCTCCAAAGTGATCCTTCCTGGAAGGTTTAGAGACAATCAACCCCTAAGCAGGGCCCGTGCCTGGCGACTCCCGGGTCCAGGGATGGCTGGCATATTCCTGGCACCGTCCATGGGTGGGAGCAAGGGCACCATTTGGTTTTTGCCTTGGAAATTGGACCTTGGCTGTCTTTGTTCCAAACCAAATGTGGCTGAGGAGCGCTCAGATAGTTTCAGGAAACACCTTTCAAATCCAGTGTGCGAGGTTCAGCAAGTAAAAATACAGGATTAGTTACATTTCAATTATAGATAAACAAGGCATTATTTTTAGTCTAAGTATGTCCTATGCAATATCTGGGCTAAACTTATACCAAAATTTATTTGTCGTCGACCTGAAATTCAAATGGGACTTAGGGTACTGAAATTTACCTGGCAATCTACCTCCAGTGCGCTGAGGTTACAAAGGGACCTCTCTGGGTGGTGGAGCTGCCCGGCATCCTGACTGTGGGGTGGGTACAGGCCTGCGGGTGTGCAATGCACAGGCCCACAAAAGGTCGATGGCAGTCCCAGGTGATCAGGACCAGATGAGACTGTGGGGCCGAAGGGAGGCTGTCACACCTTCGGGGCATGGGGGAGGGAGCTCTCAGAATTGGGAGGTGGCTTGGATACGGTTGGTGAGTTGGTTGTCCTGGAAAGCCGGTGGGTTGGGACATTATTTCCCAGGTTAGGAGGGAGCGGGGAAGGGAATGCGCTTTGCCAAGACGTTCTTTTGTCTAATTATTTGGACTGGCACAGCATCGGACTGGCCCGATAGCACTCAGTGTATCTGTGTGGAAGTACCTGGCTTGACTGCCCTGTGTCCACCTTCCACCCTGGCCCCCAGGGCTCCAGGCTGACAGTCAGACCTGACCGCTTTACCTTCATGCTGAAAAGCGTGTGCTGCCTGCTCCTAATAAACTTGAAACTGGCTTGTCTTCTGAGCTGGGCCTTTGGTGGCCGTGATGATTTGGCCTCCTGACAGTGGCTACTCCAGCATCATTTTTTCCTTCCTTTTCAGAGAGCCATGATCTTACTCAGGAGGGCCACGCACTCATCTGGAAGAGGTCATCTCCAGGCCTACTCTGCAGCTCGGTAAGTCCAGACCACTAGGTTCGGGCCAAGGCGAGGTCAGCAGAAGTGTAGCGGTTTTCTGGGAGGGCCCCTTCTTCCGGGATAGCTCACGTGATGGTTGGCGCACACGCAGTCATCTTGGACCCCGAGGCAAATTCAGTAAGGATCCAAGTGCAGCTAAGAGAAGGGGCCTGAGCCCTGGAGGATTCCACTGCCCCTCTCTCTGCCCTGCCCACCCACCCATTTGTGCAGGAGAGAGAAGTGATCTTTCACATTGGATAGGCCATTGCTCCTTCTTTGTTTTCTTTGCTAACTTTTCATTCTCCTCTTTTACTCTTTCTTGCCTGTTACTCCTTGAAAACGTGCTGCACCATCTTGCTTTGGTCCTTCCCCTGCCTCCTGCCACGAAGCCTTCTCTTTTTATTTTCTCCACCTTACAAGTGTCTGCTCGGTCCCCACCCTCACCTCTCCGGTCATCCTCCCGGGTAGATTCCACAGCGCGTTCCATCCTGCTTCCTCCAGGCAGCCTTGGTGTGGCCTGTGTGCCCCTGGGGTGGGTGCCTGTCCTCCTCCTCCGCTGCAGCTAAGCTCCCGGGGAACGTGAACTGCGTCTCCTGCCTGATTTCTCCACGATTCTTGATCCCTCTAAAACACAGTGTTTCCCGGACTCTCTTGCCGTCAAATGCACTTCCGCTCTATGAACTGCTCATCTCATGGGCCTGAGGCTCCACGGAGGGCAGATGGTTTAACTTGTCATGGAAATCAAGGTTGTGCTGTGAGGGCACACCCGGCTGTTGCTGAGGATGCAAAAGAGAACCGAACACACCCTGGGCCCCCCTGTGGGGTCGGGGGAGAAAGGTCGGGGCCAAGGGTTGTGCCAGGGGCTGGGACTCTAGGCTGAGGCCACTGAGGCAGGCCCTGAAGGTCGGCTCCTCCTTGCCTGAGCCTGAGGCCACAGAGGCAGGCCCTGAAGGTTGACTCCTCCTCTCCTCAGCAGCTGAGGCTACTGAGGCAGGCCCTGAAGGTCAGCTCCTCCTGCCTGAGCAGCTGAGGCCACTGAGGCAGGCCCTGAAGGTCGGCTCCTCCCGCCTGAGCCTGAGGCCACTGAGGCAGGCCCTGAAGGTCGACTCCTCCTTGCCTCAGCAGCTGAGGCCACTGAGGCAGGCCCTGAAGGTCGGTCCCTCCTCGCCTCAGCAGCAGGAGCCACCAAGTGGCACATTTCTCTTCAGGGGAAATTTGCCAATGTGTTTTGAATGACCGTCCAAACTGTGCGCCCAGAAGCCAGCTGACATAATGAAAATGCTCTTTTGTTGGAAGTCATTTTTCCATGCAGGTATGTGTATAAAATGTGTACTTGAGATGGAAAAACAGATGGCTTAACTATCTCTAATCTCGTAGAGGGGTCACCTGTTACCAGGCCATTCGTCATTTCAGCCAAAATTTCCACCATAACGGCGTGCCCCGGAATCAGGGGGCTGTGCCACCTCCACATCACCCGTGTGTCTGGGCGATCTTCCTCCAGCAGCGGCGGGAGCACACGCCCTGTGCCGGGGGCTTCCTGCTGGTGTGGATTAAACGGCTCTCAAGGGTCCATGTACTGGTGTTGTTTTGTCAAGATGTGGCTTTTATTTTTAAAGACGCAGTCTCACCCTGGGTTCTCAGCGTGAGGGGGCGAGCTGGTGCCCTCCCGTGGTCGAGCCAGTCTGCAGCCCCCAGCTCTCTCTCCAGGGACCTGAGATCCCTCTGGGGGTGTCTTATTCTGAGCAGGGCTCCCGGGAAGCACGAGGTGCTCAGAAGGGAGGGCCGTGTTGAATGCTGGAGTTTGAGGAGCGATGGAGGCGGTGAGCAGATGCCTGCCCCGCTGTTCATTTTCTTACTTGGCACACGTTTACTGGAACTCTAAGAGGTGGCCATCCCCCTGCCCTCCTCCAGCTGGGCATCCACCCCAACACCCCAGGAAGCAGCTCTGGTCTGGTTGCCTGTTGGGTCTCTACACACCCCCCGCCAGCCTTCCCGCTGTCAGTCCTGTTCCTCTTGGGCTCCTGTGAGGCCAAGTCCTCCTGTCCCCCACCCACCACCCTGCTGCCCCTCCCAGCTGCTTCCCTGGATGCTACTGGGAAGGCTCGAGTTCACCTTCCTCTGCCTCTCTGGCCCCGCGTGGCCTCCCCGCCCCGGCTGTGCACATGCACCTGCTCCCTGGGGGCCTCAGGCTCTTCCTGGTCTGGAGAGCCCTGGAGGTCCCCACGGCAGAAACATAACACAGAACAAAGGCTCCAAAGCCACAGCTTCAGCCTCTGCAGAGCTCAGGGCCTGATAAAGTCCAGGAGGCTAGGCTGGTCCAGCCCCTCCCTGGCTCCCTGAGAAGCGGCTGTGGGGCTTCTGTGGTCTCGTCCCTGGCTTTGCCCAGGTCCACCTTGTTCGTTTCACTGAGGAACACGGCTGTCGTGTAAGGCACTGGGGAAATTAACATAAGCCTCCAGGCATCCAAGACAGTGTGTGCCACCGAGGCCACGGGGTACAAGTCAGGCCCCTGTCTCTCCTTCCTCCCCATGGCAGGGACACCCGGAGCTCAGTCCTAGGGGCTCGGAGCTCTGGGGCCTGATGCTCCATCCCCATCCCCCCCTCGCTTCCTCCCTCCTTCCTCCCCATGGCAGGGACACCCGGAGCTCAGTCCCAGGTGCTCTGAGATCTGGAACCTGATGCTCCATCCCCATCCCCCCATCGCTTCCTCCCTCCTTCCTCCCCATGGCGGGGATGCTCAGAGCTCAGCCCTGGGTGCTCTGAGATCTGGAACCTGATGCTGCATCCCCATCCCCCGCATCGCTTCCTCCTCCAGCAACGCAGGGTAAACATTTCCCGAGCCCCTTCACTCATGGAGCCCTCTCCTCACAAAGGGCTCACATCCAGAGCAGGGCAAATGCCAGGTTCATCCAGCAGGGAGCCTCAGTGGGGGAAGGGAAACACCAGGTGGGCAGTGGGCAGAGCAGCCTCCAGGCCAGTGAATTCAGCACGTGCTTCCTACCCAAATATACACATGATAAATAATTTACTTACTTCTTGTTTGTCTTGCTTGTCTTCTGCTAGAATATTAGCTCCATGAAGGCAGGGATTCCCTCCCTCCCTCCCGCCCTCCCTCCTTCCTTCCTTTCCACTATTACATTCCAAGCATCTTGTACAGTGTCTGGCATATGGTGTGTTTTCAAGACTTAAGCAAATGAATGAATCAACACAGGTGTTGGCCAGTTGTCAAAGGCTGCTTCTTCTCTCTCACCTGAATCAGGCATCCCACTACCAGGGCACAGGACCTGCTTCCAAATGTGTGCCTTTTCTGTGAGATTCCCAGACTCAAGCTCAGGAACCTCTGGGTGTCGTGCAAAGTGGGGCTCCTGCAGCAGGGGCTGATGGCTGGGACACCTTCCCTGGGGCGGCTGCTGGCCGTCCTGTCTGATGGGCCAGACGTCTCCACCAGCTTGGATTCAGAAATCCCCGACTCCAAAATGAACCTTTAAGTGAGGCGCAACTTTCAGAATGAGCAAGGGTCGAACCCCAGCAGCTGCCTCTTCCTGGGGACCACGGTCCGGTGGCTGAGGAGCGGCAAGTGCCGTCCCTGAGACTCTGTCATGGCTGAGGCTGACCTTGCTCCCATGGACTGCGTGGGAATCATCACTGCTGCCACATGTCATAGAAATTTTTCTGTGAAATGCAAATCGCATTAATTTCCCCATTCCCTAATCCGGAACACTGAATTTTGTACTAATCATGCCAGCGGAATCTCGTATGAAAACCACAGAGAAATCACTGGGTCCTTCCCTCCCCAGGGACTGTCTCAGCTTTGGAAATATCACAGGCACAGAGAGAGGGGCTGTTCCCCAAACAGGCCATTATCACAGCCACATAGTGAAGGGAGTGCTTTTTCTTTTAAAATCATTTTATTGAGACATGATGTCAATATAATTAATGCAGCTCTTTTCAGTATAGTGTAATGAGTATTGACTATTTTACACCCATGCAACCACCAAACTCCAATTTGTTATTTTTGAAAATTATTCTCATCATTCCAGATCCTTTGCATTGTCCTACAAATTTTAGAATCAACTTACATATTTCTATTTAGAAAAAACAGTCCTGCTGGGAATTGTATTGGGATAGCATTGATTGCGTAAGTCGCGTTGGACAGGATTGTTGTGCTAACAATATTGTTTCTTCTACTTCAAGAATATTCTCTATCATTCCATTTATTTAGGGCTTTCGTTTCTTATTTTTCTTAGTAATATTTTGTGGTTCTAAGTATACAGATCTCACACTATTTCAAAAAATTATCCCTAAGTATTTCATGCTTTTTTCATGCTACTGTAAATGTTTATAATTAAATTTTCCATTGGTTCATTGTTAGTATTTAGAAATACAGTTACCTTTGTGGTCTTGCTGAGCTCATCAGTGTAACTGTTTTTCAGATTCCATAGGATTTTTTGTTCATGTCACCTTCAGATAAAAATGTTATTCCTTCTTCAATCTGCATGTTCAGATTCGTTTCTGTCAATGAATAATGAATATTGTGATGCCTATGTCAAATTTATTGACTTTCTTCTATATTCTGTTAATATAGGGTGTTATGTTGATCAATTTTCTAAATCCACTTGACATTCCTGAGAATGAATATACACACACACACACACACAGATACACACACGCATAGGTATATATGTATATGCATAGGTATGTGTCTATGTCTTTGTATACATATGCATCCATATTCAATTTGCTAATAATTTATACACATTTGCATCTATATTCATGATATGTTTAAAAGTTAACATTGTATGAGTTTCCTCTCGTCATAATCGTAGTGATGCTGGACACATAGAATAAGATGGAAGGTTTTTCTTTTCTGTTTTCTGGAAGAGCTCACTTGGGACTGGCTCTGTTTCTCCCTGAGTGTTTGACAGAATCCATTACCAAATGCATCCAGGTCTGGAGTTTTCTTTGAGGAGAGACTATAAATTATGCATTTAATGTCTATTCAGATTTTGTACTCCTTTTTTCAATATTGATAATTTGTGCCTTTCAAGGATGATTTTCATTTTGTCTATGTTGTCTAATCTATTGCATAAATTCACTCATGTTTCTTTTCATCCTTCTAATTTATATTGTACCTGTAATGAGTCCCTTCCTTCACTCATGATATTGGTATTTATGTCTTATCTTGTTTCTCTCATTTTCTCTCTTTTATGGCTTTTTAAATTTTTATTTTTTTTTTTAGAGGCAGGGTCTCACTCTGTCACCCAGGCTGGAGAGCAGTGGCCACCATGGCTTACTGTAGCCTTGAACCTTGGGCTGAAGCCATCTTCCCACCTCAGCCTCCTGAGTAGCTGAGGCCACAGGCAGGCACCACGTCCCTCCTGAACAAACTGAAAGCAACCCTTCTCAGATCTATCAGAGTTTAGGTCACAAGGCAGACACTGCCTCCACAGCTGCAGAGAAATGCATGTGCGTCCAGAGAATCACGCCTTACCAGGAACAGAAGCCCAGGAGCAGAGGCTGGCAGCCAGAGCCAGGACGGGTAGAAGCACCGCAGAGGTTCAGTGTGGACAGGCCTGAATGGCAAACACTCGGGAGGGGACCTCAGTCTTAGGAGGCCCCATGCTGTCCGGACCTCACAGTGAATATCAGAGAAAACTCCCCCTCTGCTTCCAGCAGGGGCGGGAAAAGCTCTGGAGCTCTGCCCTTAATAGGGGCTGCTCTCAAGAGAAAAAGTGTTACCAGATCTTAACCCCCTGGGGTTTTATCAGAGCCTAATGACCCAGGAATGAGACACACCCAACTCCAGGCCCCTCTGGCTTTCCTGTCTTGTCTAAGGGAGAGGAAATGAAAACAAAGCTGAGCAGCACTTGTGAAGGTCACAGCCCAGGGGACACAGGCTCCCTAAAAGCTGAGACTAATCAGGGACTAGAGGACACCCTCCCACACCTCAGCACCTTACTTAAGAAGGGGAGACCCAGGGACAGTAGGGAAGACCAAAGCAAGAGCCTCAGAGGAGCTTTGAACCTCCATTCCCAGCCAGAGAAACTTCAAACTGACAAGAAAGGCTTCTTTATCTCAATTTCTTTTACCCACTACAATATGTTTACCTCTCAGCAATATATGTAGAGCCGGGCGCAGTGGCTCATACCTGTAATCCCAGCACTTTGGGAGGCCCAGGCAGGTGGATTACCTGAGGTCAGAAGTTCGAGACCAGCCTGATCAACATGGTGAAACCCTGTCTCTACTAAAAATACAAAAAAATTAGCCAGGTGTGGTGGTTCAGGCTTGTAATCCCAGCTACTTGTGAGGCTGAAGCAGTAGAATCGCTTGAACCCGGGAGGCAGAGGTTGCAGTGAGCCAAGATAGCACCGTTGCACTCCAGCCTGAGTGACAGAGCGAGACTCCATCTCAAAGAAAAAAAAAATGTTGCAAGGCATATTACAAAACAAAAATATAATTTGAATAGAAAGAGCCAGCATGAATACCAGACTCAGATATGGCAGAAATTTTGGAATTATCAAACCAGAAGTAAAAAATAATTACTTTATTAAGGGAAATAATGAAAAAAGTGGACAACATGCAAGAACAGATGAATAATGTCGGCAGAGAAATGGAAATTCTAAGAAAGAGTCTGGAGGAAAGGCTGGAAATAAAAAAAGACTGTCACCGAAAGGAAGAATGCCTTCGAGGGGCTTATCTGTAGACTGGACGAGGCTGAGAAAAAGTCAGTGGGCTTGGAGACGTCAATAGAAACTTACAAAACTGATGAAAAAAGAAAAGAACCAGACTATCCAAGAGCTCTGAGACAATTAGAAAAGGGGTAACATACTCATCATGGGAAAAGTAAAGGACAATCTAAAGAGACAAGAGCACAGTACATATTTGAAGGGATCACAGCTCATAATTTTCCAAAATTAATGATAGACACCAAACCACAGATCCAGGAAATTCAGAGGGCATCAAACAGGATAAACACCAGAAAATTGACACCTAGGCATAGCATGTTCAAACTTCAGAGAATCAAAAACAAAGGGACAATATTGAAAGAACAAGCTTTTGGTTCTATTAATCTTTTCCATTGTTTGAGGTTTTTCAATTTTATTGATTTCTGTTCTCATCTTTAATATGCTTTACCTTTTAATTTTAAGTTTCATTTGCTGGACTTTTCTTGTTGTGTCATATTAGATCATTGATTTCAAAACACTTTTCATTTTTCACATGAACGTATAAAACTACAAATTTTTTCTATGCTTAACTAGAGTCCACTAAATTTTCATTCAGTTTATAATGTTTTATAATGTTTCATGTGATTTCCTCTTTGACCCATGGGGTATTTAGAAGAGTAATTTAAAAATTCAAAATATTTAGCGATTTTCCAGATAGGCTTTACTACTTGGTTTGCAATTTAATTCTATTTTAGTCAGAGAACATGCTATCTATGCTTTTAGTCCTTTTAAATGTACTGGAACTTAATACATCTTAATTTCCTGTCTGGTTCAGATTTTACAACAGTGTTTATTTTCCAAATCTACAATCTGTCTTTAATTTGGGTTAGAGCATTTTTCACTTTCTCTGTCTCTCCTCTCCTCCCCTTCCCCCTTCCTCTCTCCCTCTCCCTCTATGGTAGAATATAATGAGTTTTAATACATGCACAGAATCCTATAACCACCGTCACAGAAGTAGAGAGTTCTTATACCCCCTGCAGAGCTCCCCCATGCTGCCCTCTGTATTGAAACCCCACCACATCCCAACCTCTAGTAACCATTGAGCTTTTCTCCACCAATATAAGTTTGATTCTCAAGAATGTCAACTTTTGAGAGGCTTATTTTTCCCTTAGCATAATGCCTTAGAGATGCATCCAAGTGGTGTGCATCCATAGTTGATTTCCCTTTATGACTAAATGAATCCCACCGTATGGATGCCTATTACTCCATGCATTCTACCGTTGTCGGACAGGTGCGGTATTTCCAGTTAATGAACAGAATAGATAGAGCTGCTACAAACATCCATATGCGGTTTTGGGTGTAAACACAGGTTTTCATTTCTTTGGGGTAAATATAAATAAATAAAATTCCTGTCAGCCTATAAATAAAATTCCTGTCATCTGGTAAGTGTATGTTTAACTTCAGTAAAAACAGCCAATTTTAGAGTGTCTGTATACTTCTGCATGTCCACTAGTCATGACACACGAGATGTTCAGCTGCTCACTTTTCTCACTAGCACACAGTGTTGTGTGTATATGTATATATTCTC